GCTAAGCCACGGGGCTGGCCCCAGGACTTACACATCTTTTGAGGGGCCACTATTCGATGGGAATAAATATATTACAATTATTTATTGTACAGTAATTAATATATCTGGCTTCATATAGTTTATAACATTCTGATTTCAAGAAGTTGAATGGGGGTGGATGCTACAGTTTCCCCTCCCATGCAAAATCTTAGAAATGATACAAGGAAATATATTATCTTAAATACTGTATATATTGTACTCTAGAAAAAAATGGGGGAGGCAACTCTCAGTGTCTCGGTGGAGATGAAAGGATAAGGAGTCGGTGAGACACAAATTGCACAGTATTTGATGGAAGGCCTTGCTGGTGGGGAGAGTGTCCTGTGGAATCACCCAGAAGGTGGGAGCAGGGGGCTCGGGCATTCAGAGACAACCTCAGGGTAACCATCTGAGAGAGGCAGTAGGAGCCACCAGCAGAATAGGTGTGCACATCCCTGCATTCCCCAGCCCTGGAGGTCATCTGATCCAGGCACGGAGCAGCTGATGGTCAGGGCAGCGCAGGTGCCTGGGGGTGTCCCCAAGTCCAGACCTGGTACACTCACGGTCTAACAGCACATTCTGCACTCCCCACTTCGTACTAAGACCAGGCAGGGGACATCCGGGCAGGAGGCGTCCGGACAGCAGGGCCTGCCCATCCCCAAGCCGGGCTCAGCGCCCAAAGGTAGGGGCTAGTCCAGCGAGAATCCCATCTGCTTTCCTTGCACCTTTAAGAGACGTCGGACGCTGCAGAGAGCACACTGCTTGGCTGGGAGCCAGACAGCTCAGCCTCGGAAGAACTCATCCATGAAGAAACACTACACCAATCACAGCAAGATGAGTATCATCCTGAGACAGTTGAGCCTGAAATGATATCGCAGCTGGGCTTTACATCAGAATAGTCGCAGTCGGTTAAGGGGGCCCAGAAATGGGTGGAGAGAGAGGAGTAAGATGGGCCATGGTAGAATGATGAGCTGCCGACTCGGATGGAACAGAGGGCGGTGATGCGGGTAACTCCTTGTCTTGTGTAGACAACTCGAGACGTAGAGGAGTGTGTCTGTTTTCTGAATTATAAAATTAGTGAGCAGAGCAGTGAAAACAGAGATAACACTTTAGCCAATTCAGATGTGAGATTGGCAAGGGAGACTTTTCGTTTTATCCTCCCGTTTGAATTTTTTTTATCATGTGTAGCGTATTTTATAATTATTAAAACTTAAATAATTGACAAATTTTGGTAATTTTTCTTGCTAGAAACAAAACTTTGGTGACCTGTCTTACACCACGATAGCTTAGAACTACCATCCTTGATTAACCATTTTCAAAACTGGAGGCTTGCCCTCGCTTGCCTTATTTTCCCAGAATTGTGTGTGAGTGAGTAGAGGATGATAGCCCGTAACAGCACGGTCCATTACAGGCCGCACTGACCCCTGAGAGGTCTGGGAAAGGAGGCATAAGGCCGTGTTATCTGACTCTTCAGGAAGATGTCAGTTTTCTGACAGGTCACCACTGGGATGAGGTGTAACCCTTATGGAGGGAGATGTCAGGCCAACGTGGACAGTGTTCAAGCTGCTGGCTGACTTCGGGAGGTGAATTACAAGAAGAATTTCTGTGCTTGGCCCTAGGTTGCTTCTGTTAGGAGTTGTGTGGATGGTTCTTCTCTGCATTCTTCCTTTTCTTGATTGGACATGAACGCCAGGTGTGGGGAAAGCCGTGCACCCTCAGTGGGTTTATGAGAAAACCCCCAGGTTTTGTGGCCTTGTAGGCATGTCCCCTGGAAGGAGGGTGCTGGTGGGGTGCATAGCTGTGGGTGTGGAGTCAACCCGCCGGCTTCATCAGTCAGACGCGTTTACGTGTGTAGGCGTCCTGTGCTGCCTGCGGGTCCACCTGTCCCCTCTTTGTTCACCTTGTCATGCTGTGTGAGGGTCTGTCATTGCTCTGTTTTCTAACGCTTCCTTCTTCCCTCTGTCTGCCCAGCACACACTCCAGACACCCTGGATGAGACATGACGAGCATGCTGCCTCTCTCCCTCTCTCTCTTCTTAATTGTGGTAAAATACACCTAACATAACATTTACCATCTTAACCATTGTTAAGTGCACAGTTCAGTAGTGTTAAGTACAGTCACATGGTTGTGCAACCATCACCACCATCCATCCTCATAACTCTTTTCATCTTGCGAAACTGATGGTCTCTCCCCATTAAACGCTAACTCCCCTTTCCTTCTCCTCTAGCACCTGGCACCCACCGTTCCACTTTCTGTCTCTATGAATTTGACTACTCTTAAGTAACTCATGTAAGTGGAATCATACAGTATTTGTCCTTTTGTGTCTGGCTTGTTTCACTTAGCATAATATTCTCAAGATTGATCCGTGTCGTAGCATGTGTCAGAATTTCCTTCCTCTTTAAGGTTGAATAATATTCCATTGTATGGATGGACCACATTTTGTTTATCCATTCATCCATCAATGGACGCTTGAATTGCTTCCACCTTTTTGCTACTGTAAATCATGCTGCTATGGACATGGGCGTACAAACGTCTCTTGGAGACCTTGCTCTCAGCTCTTCTGGGTATATACCCAGAAGTGGAATTGCTGGATCATGTGGTAATTCTGTTTCATGTTTTGAGGCATCATCATACTGTTTTCCACAGAGGCTGCACCATTTTATATTCACACCAACAGTGCACAAGGGTTCCAATTTTCCCACATCCTTGTCAACACTAGTTGTTTCCTGGTTTTTTGATAGTAGCCATCCTAACAGGTGTGAAGTGGTATCTCATTGTGGTTTTGATCTGCATTTCCCTGATGATTAGCGATGTTGACCATCTTTTCACGTGCTTATTGGCCATCTGCATGTCTTCTTTGGAGAAATGTCTATTCAAGTCCTTTGCTCATTTTTTAACCAGGTCGTTTTGTTCCTGAGGGTTCCACTGATTTTTAAATCAGGGTGGGTGATGTTTCTCTTGCTCGTGAAACCAAAGGTAATAAAAAGAAGTGAAATAGAGCTTTGAAATATGATTGATCAATAGTTCATACACATGTGAAATGGAAAGATTTGCACAACATTAAACACTGCTTAATTGACGTTTTTAGATGTTGCATTTTAATTTTGGAAGCATTTTGTTTTTTTTCTCCACTTTTACTTTTGTTTTTTACTTGACAGTATAACCACCACCACCACCAAAATGTGGCTTTTTCCCCTGCTTAAAATACTTTATAAAGTCAGCAACTAAGTTTCCTTAAAGTAGCCATTTCCCTTGATTATCCCTGTAGACCCAGGCATGGTGCTGTGTCTGAGAAGGGCCCTGGGGCCTCACTCTGAGGCCGCTGAGCTGCTTCACTGCCCGGCCAGGTTGCCTCTGCCTTCGGTGTCCACTAGCCTGCAGAGCTCCGAGGGAACCGCAGTCCATAGGCATCTGTGATCATTTTTGCGAGAAGGAAGTGGTTTCTGCAGCCAGCCCTGCCCATGTGTCAGTCAGGGATAAAATGGGACTGTCTCCTTCCTTCAGACGTGGGCGTAGTGGGGTGGATCAGACGTGTCCGGGCATTTCCCAGGTCCGCCTTCCTCTGCTGCAGGCTCTCCTGCGCCCAGCTGAGGCACACAGCGTCGTCCTCCCCTCCCCTGATGAGGTCGTCGTAGCTCTCTCCTCGCCTGTAGCCTGGTTTCATTTCTGTGACACTGCTTCTGGAGAACAGAGTGTTTCTGCTTTTCTTGATGTGTTTCTGATTGTAGTTAGAAAAGCTGTTCAGATTTAAAAGCTTCTGCATTCAGTATTTGAATTTGACAACAAACCCGTGTAAGATTAAATATGAGATACAACCAGGGTCAGCCAATTTTCATGAATTGGTGTTATTTAATGCCTGCTGCTGAATGTTAAATTGTTTGTTTTTCTAAATGCACTTTTGCTTGTCTCCATGATTTACAACTATTGCCAAAGCCGTTTAAGTCTGTTCTGACAGTGATAAATAGATTCATTTGGCAACTTCAGCTGTTTTTTATTAAAAGTGAATACTGGTCGGTGGAAGGAACTTGTGTACGATTTTCTTGTCAAAGAGCGATGATGGGTGAATAAACAAGGTTACTTCCTTGGTTTGAGCATCAGTCCCCGGACCTCAGCCAGCCGGCTCGTCTTCACAGAGCCCCCTCCCTGCTTTCAGAGTGAAAACAGCTCAGTTATCAGTGTGTTGAAAATAAAAATTGTGCGCACCTTTAGTGTTGACAGGTGGACTGCTGTTTACGTAGTTATTTTTTTACTACAAGGAAGAAACAATTTTTTTAAAAGAACATGTGTTCAAGTTGTTTAGTTATTGCCTTATGATTTTATTTCCTTATTTCATCAAAAGAGAAGAAGTGGGAAAAAGCTTTTAATTAGATGTATTTAAATAGGAGAAACGAATGTTCTCCTTCTCGTGGCTTTGGTTAAGTGCCTTAGCAGTTAGGATATTTGGTCGAGGCTTCGTAAGAGGCTGTTACCGTGCAGTAACAGTGCAGTGGACTCTGAAAATGTAGGAGAGAAACAGACGTGTTGAGTGTTCACTCAGCATTGGATCAGGGACACGGCAAGTCACTAGGCAGCATCCCGTGTCAGGTTGCCCCTTGCACTTGTTTCCAGAGTTGTGTGTGGTTTTCTGTCTGATCTCTGTTTTGATAAAGCACTTTGAAGTTGGAAACCGCCTTGGGTTGACCATGTCCGAGTCCGGGGGAGGTTGTAAAGCATGCCCGGCACTGCTTGGTGTAACACTCTCAAAAGAACCAGAATAAATCTCAGATTTCTCACAACGAAAACAGTGTGTTAGATATTAGCCTTGTAATTTCAAACCTGTGCTGTCACTTTGAAAAGTAACTGGTTGCTTCCAGAATTTAATGTGATTTTTGTTTTGGTCTCCTGAATTGCACACCAAATATTTATTAGCTTTTTTTTAACAAAAGAAAAACCAAATGAAGATCTCCCTGTAAAAATATTCTTAATAAAATTTATCTTTATTTCAGTATCTTAAATAGTGAAGATGAAGAAATATTCAATAATGAAGAGCATGAATATGCATCTAAAAAAAGGAAAAAGGACCATTTTAGAAATGATGCAAATACTCCATGTAAGATATTTTCATTAATAATTTTATATTTCACTCGTTGAATATGTTGATATACTAAATTGCTTTGACAGTGTCGTCTTATGAAATAAAAGCTGATACAGATACACAGGCAACAGCACTGCTCCAGTGTTGCACACTGACGTGATGAGCAGACTTTTTGCAGCTCAACCATTTTCGTTGGTAAGATTTGCCGAAACAGAACAGAAGATAGCAAAACCCACAAAACAGCTCTCGCATCTGAATGACTGCATAGTGGTCATGAGCTCAGGTCATCCGTTCACTCCCACGCAGTGAGGCCAGACGGTGAGGGGTCTGGACTCGGGGCTTTCTTGCAGGGGATGCTGCTGGTTCAGAGCAGGAGGTAGACATGGTGAGAGCCGGATCAGAAACACTAGGAGGGCGTAGGCTGGATGGAGTCGGGGGGCCTGGAGGTGACTCTCCTGTGAAAGGGCCCCTCCCTGCATTATGGCACAACCACGAGTCATTGAAAACAGTTTTAGTGTGTTCAGTCTCCTGAAAAAGGTGGGATCCTGTGGAGAATAGTCATCCTGGTCCTTGAATCTTTGGGATTTTAGTTATGTGAAAAATTTATTTCAATAGAATACTATATAAGGGCAGTAAAAGAACAGGATTTTTTATTAATAGAATTTATTAATAATTGCATTTATATAGCATTTATGTTTTGATATTACAGTCATTATAACACTAATTTTCTTCTAAGCTACTATGACTTGGTTACATGTAAATATGGTTCAGGACCTCTTAAACTGATGTTAGAAAACAAAGCAAGTCTGTGTACATTTAACCAAGTAAAACCATTCCCTCTCTCTATGATGTCAGATAATTTTGTTAGTGTATGCAACTATTGAAGTTTCTTAAAATCTTAATTTTTAAATGTCACCAGATTTTAAAAACAAAGTTAATTTCTATTCTAGGTTTTTATCGTGAAAAATGGATCTATGTCCATAAAGAAAGCACAAGAGAAGTAAGTATTCTATTATAAATGAGTATATTTTGTATTGTTTTTATTGAATATGTAATGTCACATTAAATAAAGTCTTTTGCAATATCAAATCTAGAGTTTACATTCTAACAGATAAAAGCATATGAGGATCTTTCAAACAGTGATTCTCAAGTGTGTGTGCGTGCGTGTGTGTGTGTGTACGTATGTGTGTGCACAGTGTGTGGTTAGTGCCCCGGTACGAATCTGAATGGACAGCAGGCCTGTTTCGGAACGAGTGTGGACCCCTAGATCCCGCCTCTCCCCAGAAGCTGTTGGTAGTGAGCCTCTGGTGCTCACAGGTATGTGTCCTCACTCTCCTGTGTTCTGGGAAGGTGAGAACATTTGTGACCCTTGTGTGCTGTGTAGAGTAGCTAATAAGACGTTAGTAATTAAGGATGAATCTGCAAAGAGCAGGTTGAACCCTTGCCCTTCTTTCCTTTGCCCAGTTGGCTGAAGCATTTTTATGAGCCTTAAAGCTGTCAGTTCACGTCAAGCTCTGTTTCCTTATTCTCTACTTAGTATCCGGGAAGCTTACTTCCTTTTGCAGTCTGAGAAACTCTACATTTGCCTTCTTTTGAGGAAGTTGGGGGAAATAATTTAGGGAGCATTAGTTTAGCATATATTATGTTAGCATAAGTTAAGTGTTCCAGAAGTGTTAATTATGAATGTTGTGAAACTAACTCAGCCTCCTGGAAGCTTAAGGGTTAGATTCTGAGAGAGAAAACTTGTTTGACCTATTTGGTGGTGGTGAATGTTGTTAAGTGGGTAGGAAACTGCTCTGATCCTTACCATGCACCCTGACACACTGTAAGAAGAGTGTTGGGCAGAATCTAACCTAGTTTGAGCTTATGAAAGACTGTGAAATACTGCATTTGCTCTGTGTTAGCATGCTGATTACGGAACAGAGAATCTGATGTAGGCGAGCATAAGCAACCGACGGGGGATTTATCGTGGGTCTTCACGGATGTCACGTGGACCCTAGGAACAGGGTTGTAAGCAGGCTCAGGACGGGGTCAGAGCCCGGAACTGAGAGCCGGCAGTCTCTCTCCAGCTCTTCTCTGCGTCTCAGCATGCGTCTGTAGTCTTCCCACCAGATGCAAGCCCCGGGGTCTCTGCTGCTTTGTCTACATGGCCGACTGTGGCTGCCCCACAGCCTCTGAGGCTCCACTGTGGTTCCAGGCCCCCAGAAAGGTGGGTGCGCTCATGTGGTTCAGACATGCTATTTGCAGTCTGCTCTGTGAATCAGATTTAATTCCCCCAAAAAAGGAGAGGCCATTGTGAGATGGGTGGCTACTTGGAAAGGGATCTGCCACACCAGCATTTAGAATTCTGTTCATTGAGAAGAGAAAGAAATTAAAGTAGAAATATCGGCTGTGATTGATTTCGGATTATCATTTACATCTAATTAACCTTTGCTTCCCCCATAGCTCCCAGGAAAATATTTTGCACATAGTAGATATCAGTAAAAGTATTGAATGTTTTAAATAAATATGTTTTGTTGATTTATGAGACTGGGATATTTCTACTCCAGCTGCCCTCTCCAGACCTTCTCCTACCATCTGTTTGAAATGTGAGGAATAATCTGTCCTCTTGTGTTTTCTATGATTATCCCCAATTTATCCATCCCCACAGCTCTGAATCGAAAACCTCTTTATATATTCTAAGTATTTCAAATACAGAAGATTGTGTCTTAAATGACTCCTGAAACCTAACGTACATACAGAATATAGGGTCATTAAGGAAAAACATCTGAAATAGAATCGCACTGTTTTCAGTACTAAAAAAGTCTCTTTGACTCTTGGACCTCTGGGTCTGATTACCAGCTTCCTGGGTTTTGGGTGCCAGGCATCCCCTGCTCCCAGCCTGGGAACTCCCCATGGTCACATCCCACCACCTCTGGCCCTCTCTACCTGGACCTGCTGTTTCGGAGGTCCCCCTCCCAGGTGCTTCTCGGCCTTGACCATGTGTGGTGGGGCAGGCGTCCAGACCTGCGGGGTACGCGGGTCCCTGCAGAGGAACTCAGTGTTTCAACTTGTATGTTTATAACAGGGACATCTTCCTGGTAGCCAAGCAGATCATTTCTGTATCTGTAGCTGCAGAGACTAGAATACATCCAGTTAGTTTATGATTTTAGGCTTAATTTTGTCTTCCCCAAACATGTCCCCAGCAAAAGAAATCGATGATATTCAATCACTATTTGTCATTATATCAACAGTGTTGTAAAAATGTCAATGCACAGTGTCTTGATTATACATAAATGGCTTAAATTTAGCATTTCTGTAATTTTACTCTTATTTAAATATGGAATAAACCTTCAGAATAAAAACAAATGCCCTTTGCCAAAATTTTAAAAATTTTTGTACAGACTAATTGGCATTAATTGTTAGTCCATTTCAATTAACTGACTAATTTGGCAGATTTTCACTGTTTTCGTGTTGTTTTTCCAGAGGCACAGCTACTGTACTTTGGGAGAGGCCTTTAACCGCTTAGACTTCTCCAGTGCAATTCAGGATATCCGGAGGTTCAATTACGTGGTCAGGGTGAGTATTTGATTTCAGAGCCACTTTGATGATGCTTTGGGTTGACTGTGTTTTGAAGATTGTAAGTGTAAAATATGTAAGATGCTTTTGGCAACTGCATGAAGTTGTGTTTGCTGTGTAGGAAAAAACGTAAGGAATGAGTTTAGGAGAGAGACGGTAATAATGAGGGGTTTCTCTGACGTGGCTGTCCCTCGGTTGAAGGGCCTCAGCAGGCTCCGGTGGGACCTGGCGACTGCTTTCTCTAGGAGCTGCCTTACCTGCAGCCGCCACTCCTGTCTCGTAGAGATGTCACCAGAGCACACGTGCCGTGATTTGGGATCCTCCATGGACCTTACACCATCGGGGATACAAAGAGAAGAGCAGAGCCTCCCTGTGGGATTTTTCACCCAATCATTTCCTGTGCATTTTCTCCTGCATGTTTTTCACAGAGCCTGGGTCTGCTTAATAGAGATAGAGTGACTAATAGAAAAAAGGAAATTTATACAAAACAGAACTCCACAAAAGCCTTCCTCTGTTAATGTGGTATTTTTAGAAGAGATTTTTATCTTGGCCTACATTTAAAGAGCAAGCAAGGGTCTTAGCCATATATTCCATTTAGTTTTTGCTTTTATTTGTTTAAAGATTAATTACTCTGTGTTTATTACCCTTCCTTCTATTATAGGAAAAGTGTTAAGTGATGATTCATGAAGCTGTTAATTTTGGGTTTTTAATGGTACTTTGAGACTTGGGAAAGATTTTCCTTGTAATGGCTTTTAGGCATTTAAAAGTGTTACTGACAGGACAGGAAAAGGGGGGATTAAATAACGTTGAGCCTGAGGCCGTCTCACCTGCTGGGTTTGGTCCTAGGCAGCTTGGGGGCCGTGTGTGACCAGGACGTGGAGCTTCCTCGGGCCCACATGCTTCCCGGGAGCCTCGCTGTGCCGGCGCTGCACGGAGGCCGGTCCCTCCACGGTGTTCTCAGTTCTCGTTTGGGTGCGTGCACACCGGCCAGAACTGCGTCAGTTCTCTCTTCTCAGGTGGTGGAACTGAGATTTGACTCAGCCTTGTCAAAACGGTCAAGAATTGAGGAGGCAGGAAAAACATATGTCCGCAGAGAGTTCTGTTTTACAATAAATATTTCTCCGTGTCGCTCATTCATGGTTCCGATTGTACTTAGTTGTTTTATATGAGCAATTCTTGACCACTCGGCCACGTAGAGGGATTTCATCCCTGCGGTGGGTGGAAGTCTGGAGTAGGGCAGAGACTCGGGAGGAGAAAACCATTCCGCCTGGTTCCAGTGTCGGACTGTGCGTGCTGCTGGTCCAGGCTCTGTGTTGGCTGGCCTCTGGAGGCTCTGAGCCTTGCGTGCTCCGTGGGAGGGCAAGTCTGTAGACCAGGGCCCGTGTCTGAATGATTTCAGTCACCTGAACCACCTCAGGACTTTTTGTTTTGTCTGCATGCCGCACTATTATTTACGGAATGGCCTTTCTTCAGATGTCTTTTTAGAAGTGAGGTACCTAGGGCCGGCCCCGTGGCTTGGCGGTGAAGTGTGCACGCTCCACTGCTGGCGGCCTGGGTTCGGATCCCGGGCACGCACTGGCGCACCGCTTGTCCAGCTGTGCTGAGGCCGCGTCCCACATACAGCAACTAGAAGGATGTGCAGCTGTGACATACAACTATCTACTGGGGCTTTGGGGGAAAAAATAAATAATAAAATAAAATTATGAAAAAAAAAAAAAAGAAGTGAGGTACCTACCTTAGCTTCACCCTGAACAAGAATCCCTGCGAAGTTGTAGATTCTCTGCGCTGTTTCCAATGCACATACGTAACTATGAAAATTAAAATGTGTCGTGTGTCCACGTACCCACCGAGAGGGTCTTGCGCTGTATTTCTCTGTGTCCCGTCCCCGAGGTGGCTCGGAGGGAACTGGTAGGTTCAGGAAGTGTGCTGGCGCGCGCGGTAGGCTCCCGGCGTCGCTGGGCCTCCGCGAGGTCAGCCTTGCCTGAGTCCCGCGTGCGGCTCCTCCGTCGTCGCTCTTGCTCCTGCCGGGCGGGGGTCCTCCCTCCTCCTGCTCCTTCAGACCCCTGCACAAGGCCGGCAGAATTACCTGCCAAAAACAGGTGCTTTTGTCCACCTTCCGATAGAAACAAACACCAGCCCGCAGCGATGCTCTGGACTAAGGTCCGCCTGCCGTGGCCACGCCGTGTGGCCCAGGCTCCCTCCCCACCGCCTCTTGTTCCCTTCCGCAGCCTCGCCCGGTGCCCTCCCTCGTTCGCTCTTTTGGTGTGTTCTGTCTCTTCGCCTCTGTGGAGTTGCTCCCTCCACCTGCTGCCACCTCCTCCGTGGAGATGCGGGGCCTCCGGGTGTGGACGTGGCGCACAGGCCCCGCTGCTCTCCCCGGCACCGAGCCGCCTCTCGTTACCCACTAGGTCCTCAAGCCACCGTGGTCTGGGCCCGCGTGCTCCCGACACGGGTTTGCCAGCATGGGCGTCACAGTCAGCGCTCCCTGAACTGACCCGACTGTGAGCTGGCTGTGCAAGAGGAGCCGTGTGTTTGGTGTTTCTTTCCTGTCTTAAGTGCCTATAGCAGCACTGACAGCCACAGCTGAGACGATCCTCCTGCAGTTCTGCTCAGTAAGACGGCTTCCCATAATTACTGCTGAGTCGTCCGTAAAGTCACTCAGTGTTAGAACAGCTGTAAACAAGAAATGGAGAAGCATCTTTTTGAAATGCCTGGTAAAAAATTTCCTAATGTTTCTAGTGGCATTCAGTAATATTTTCCCTAAGAATTTATGTGAAAAAAATTAATAGTATGTATTTTTCAATTAACATTTTATATGAAATCCTTTTGTTCATCTAAAATTAGCAGTTAGACTGAGACTAATCAATAATTACCACATAGTTTCTGAATAAAAATTAGTGTTAGAGTTTAGTGTTCAATGATAAATTGTTTCAGTTGTCAAAATAAAGAAGTTTGGAGTGGAAGTTTAGTCTTGAATTTATCAGGACTTGCTAGCAGTATTGGTAAGCCTGCCATCTGTAACGTATTTAAATCCCTACTGGTATGGGATCATGGCGAAGGAATTTATTAATCCCTTAGTCACAATAGATTAGGAAATATTAATAAATAAATGGATATGCTTACGTATGGTTAACAAATGGATTTATTAGGCTGTTTAATGAGAAGTGAGTGTGGAAGAGTCATGTTTAGACAAGATGGGATCATACAGAATAGTATTTCTCCATTCAGAAACATTTCACTAAAGGGGTAGGATTTTCCCAAAGCCTCTACAGTGTTCTGAAAGGGCATTTCAACGACTTTATGACTTAGAAGAAAGCTTAGCAGTGGAAACCGGATTTCTCAAAGGGGTTGTTGAGTCATTTGACCAGGAGGATACACAGGTTGGGATGTCGTGGTTGTGAGCTGTGGCTCTGGAGTAAGATGCGGGTGTGAATGGCGGCGGAGACTGACCGCCTGACTTGGAAGCCATGCGGACACCACGGGAGCTCTGAATGGCCCACAGTGCACACAACAGCCACCTCTGCTGGACGGCCCAGCTCCGGGCTGAGTGCTCACACACTGTGCGGACCACTGGCTGCCTAGCATCTCGTCTCTGACTTCTCCATGCGCTGGACACTCCCCACCAGTGGTCAGGAGGGCTGAGTGGTCAGGAGCCAAGGACGGAGGGTATAGGGAGTGAGCAGGAAGAGGACAAGTACAGAGGTGGAAACAGTCATCTGAGTGCGTCTGGTGACAGAAGGGCATGTGGGTGACGAGGACAGATAGGGTTTTATCTCTCTCTCACAGTGGATAGACCCTAGGTTCCTGGCTGTCCTTCTAAATGGCACACCTTTCTATCACTTTCACTGCATTTTTGTCCTATGTGTCAGCATTAACCTGCTGGGGAAACCGTGGTGACAAAATGAGGCTCAGCTCTCCCATCGTGGAGTCAGTCTAGTGGTGGAGACAGAGTTTAACTGGGGAGTCATGCAGCTAGAGGGTGGACTAGGGTGGGCCGTCCAGGAAAGGTGCCCAGGATGAGTGGTGCAGGTCTGCGTCTGGGATCTAAACCCTCAAATCCGGGCTGCCAAAGCAGAGCGTGCCGAATTTAACCACTAGGCCGCTGGGCCTGGCCCAATATTTGTACTTTTAACAAATTTTCATTAAATTTCCAACAGATTTTGCTTCATATATCTAGCTAAATAGAGGCTGCCTGGTTGTATTTTCTTTGTAAATTATATCTTTTGCCTTTTCCTCTTAATTACCATTTTAACCTAAAATTTCACTTTGTCACCTGTTAAACACTGCCACTCATGTTTTCTCGGTGTTTGCATATAACAGTTGATGGTCCTTCTGGTGGGTGTCCGTCCTTTGTCCAGTCCTCTGTGGATAACTACCTAAGCAGCCGTGCTAACCCCGAGCCTTCTGCCAGGGATGTGAAAGTCTTGTTGTAAAGGATTTTTTACATGGTATCAGAAAACTGTAGTGTATGTTGGTGATGGGAGGGGTGGTTAGGAAGACTTGTTCCCTGGGACACTCATTCCCCATGGGTGAAGGAAGTCCATTAAAGCAGAGTCCTCAAACTTGGTCTCAGGGACCTTTTCACTCTGGAATTACTGAGGACCCCAAAGAGACTTCGAGTATGTGAGTCACATGTATTAACATTTACCACATGGAAATTTAAACATACAGAGTGGCGTTGTCTCACACCCTTGCAAATCCTCTTAGTGTCTGCTGTAATAGACGACGGCTGAGTTCTCAGTCTGCCCCTGAGTTCAGTGTGCTGCGGCACCGCACGTCGTGCAGCCTCTGGAACACTTCCCTGCACACTTAGGAGAGAGTGAGACTGGAAGGGAGAGTGACGTCTGAGTGGTGCTGCGGAAGGGCCCCTGGACAGCACTCTGAGAACCACCGCATTGGCGTAACACTGCAGCCTCTGCCCTCACTCCTGGTGGTGAGAGGAGGGCTGGGTAACTCTCCTCTTTCTTCTCTCGTTTTTCTTTGAGGAATAGAAGAAAAATTCATTTGCATATTCTGGTCTGTTTCTCTCATGTCCTAAGTGTTACAGGAGCAAGAAGCCCGTCTGGAAGGTTTTGGTGATTAAATGATGCCCCTGGCTGGCCGCCCGAGCCTCTCTCAGGTCAGGACCAGGAAGCCCATTGTGGCTGCAAATCCAAGTCACATCCCAGTCCAGCTTTTGTTAGGGGTCAAGCTGATCTTACAGCTCAGTCGGCCTGAATTCTTTGTCTCCAGCTGGGTTCTAAACTCAGGCAGGAGAAGGGGATGTTCTTCAGCACAAAGTGGTGCTGATGGTGAGGAGGGTCAGATAGGGAGACATCTGATGATGATACTGAGCTCACTTGAAAAGATGAAGAAGCAGGATGGACACTGCAGCCTGGCTTCACGGGCGTGTTTGTTGTGATCTCTGGCCAAGGCTGTGAAGTACCGTGTTTCTGTAATCACTGCAATATGAGACACTTTTATTTATTTATTTATTTATTTTCCCCCCAAAGCCCCAGTAGATAGTTGTCTGTCACAGCTGCACATCCTTCTAGTTGCTGTATGTGGGACACGGCCTCAGCATGGCCGGAGAAGCGGTGCGTTGGTGTGCGCCCAGGATCCGAACCCAGGCTGCCAGCAGTGGAGCGCGCGCACTTAACCACTAAGCCACAGGGCCGGCCCTAGGACACTTTTTCTGTAATATATTAGAAGTTGCAGAATGATTTTTTTCCTGAAGATTATCATGTGACTGTTGTATTTATAATGTTATTTTTGGACTTCTACAGTCAACATGGCTGTGTGAGTATGTGAGTTAGCGTTTTCGTTTCTCCCTCTGAAAGTCATCAAAGGCAGCAAGGAGAATTGGAAGGAGCAGATGAAAAATTCCTTTTTCAGAGAAATAGGAGGCAGATGTAATTCACAGATTCTAAATATATTTAAGGCTTACCAAAAGCAGCTATGATTGGGCAGAACCAGTACAAGAAGAGGTGAGTAGATGTGTTCAGGTTGGCAAAAACACCCAGCAGGGGCAGATCTGGGAAGAGGCCTGGCCTGCACGGCAGAGCTGACGGATGCTAAGTTCCTTGCTTACAGCAAGTGAGGAGATTACAGGGAAGAGGGCTGACCACAAAAGACTTCTGAGACCCAGTTAGACGGAGAGGTGGGCTGTGGGGCTACCCAGGAATCATACAGACGAGCCATATGTGTGAAAACCAGCTTTCCTGCAGTGGCGGAGAGAGGGGACAGCATTCAGGCTGAGGAAGCTCCCCTGCCTTCCCCCGGGAGCCTCCTGCAGAGTAAGTGATCTGGGAAGTCGGCCCTCACTCAGGAACGAGTACTGACAGAGAGGGTGCTGACACAGCATCACATTTACTAAGGAAGAGGTGGGAAAGAGCAGCCAGCCTGACAGGTGTGGAGCACCAGGAAACGTGTCAGGGAGGCGGGGTGCGGGGGCCACGCCCTGACGGTCCATTGGGAGTGAGGACAGAAACCGCACTGTGGAGGCAGACCCCAGTGCAGAAACGCTGGGAACCAAGCGAGATGTGTTAGTGCGCGCCCTCGAGCAGCAGGAGACAGCTGTGAGAGGCATCCTAGAGAGGCGAGGGGCCTGGAAGGGCCCAGGAGAAGGCGGACACTATGGGGACACAGGATGGGACAGAGGCCACAGAAATGAGACAACTCATCAAAACCCAACAGTAAGAGTGAATGTAAAGAAAATCACAGCTGCAGACGACGGTAAGAGGAGATCCAGCATATTGACGACTGCAATCTTCAGAGAGGAAAGTAAAACAATGGGACAACCAAATATCTAAAGATAACGTCCAAGAAAACTCTCCTGAGGTGGAAAGAGCCTTGAACCTGCATTTGAAAGAGCAGCCTGTGTGCTGGGGAAACTGACCCAGAATGATAAGTGTGTCACGTCCTGGGAGAATCCTTACATGCCAGAGAGGAAGTAACAAACGTGCAGTCTTACAGGGAGAGCAAGTCAGGGGGCCCGCTCTTCCCCGTCAGCAGGTCCTCACCCTGTGTGGGTCTAGTCACTGTGGTTGTGTGTCCATGTTGAACGGACCTGTGCTGAGCCTGTTTCCTCTTTCTTTTAAGCTCTTGCAGCTAATTGCAAAATCCCAGTTAACTTCATTGAGTGGTGTTGCACAGAAGAATTACTTCAACATTTTGGATAAAATCGTTCGAAAGGGTAAGACGATGGCTGATATTTTTAATAACCTAAATCTTAATTAGAAATTTAGTGCAAGGAGATGGGATTTCTTAAAAATGTTTCCCCAGTGTGTATGTTGTCAAAAACAATAATGTCAAAGAACTCGATAGTATTGAGACAAGAATAGGGGTTGGTCCCTCCACTTCTTAATGTTCTGTTACTGTTGTTTACATTTTTTAAAGTTGCTTTTGCATACAAAGGAATGTGTTATAATAAGAAAGATAATTAATCCCTGAGTTTTAAAAAGATATTTTACCTTTTCATGGTTAATCAGTCACAGTCACTTCAGCTGTATAATGTTTCCATAATGAGCAAGGCTGTGACTTAGTCAGTTAGGCATCAAATAAGACTGTAATTTTCTTTTTAATTTAATGTTTGTCTTGGTTAATTAGGGGCTAATAATAAGTGGAACTTTAAATTTCACACCATGAGTTTATGCATATATATGAATTGGACTGTATGTATAAGCCATTTTTAAATATCAGTTCTCTTTATGATAAGTATAAAAGAAAATAGAGACTGATGCATTTAGAGGTAAAATTGTAGACTTAACTGAAAATACAGTAACAGGCAATATTTTAGGTTTTTTTAATCTCACCATACTTGTGATATCTCAAAAATGATGCCACTTTGGGGTTGCAGTGAAATTAGACCATTGTTTTTTATTGTGTTAAAATATACATAACGTAAAATTTACCATTTTAACCATTTTTAAGTGTACAGTTCAGTGGCATTAAATACATTCACACTGTTGTACAACCATCCCCACCGTCCATCTCCAGAACTTTCCCATCTTCCCAAACTGAAACTCTGTCCCCGTTAAACACTCCCTCCCCGGCCCCTGGCACCACCACCTACTTCCTGTCTCTGGATTTGACTCCTCTAGGGACCTCATGTAAGTGGAATCCACAGTGTCTGTCCTTTTGTGATGGCTTATTTCACTTACTATAATGTCCTCAGGCTTCATCCCTGTTGTGGCATGTGTCAGAATTTCCTTCCCATTTAAGGCTGAATAGTACTCCATCATGTGTGCCGTACACGCCACATTTTGTTGACTTGTGCTGTTTGTCGAGGGACTCCGGATCATTTTTAACAGTGGCGGTGAACTGTATCAATCCGTGGTTTTGTTTGTTGATCCCAGTTCTCGATGACCACCAAAATCCTCGCCTCATCAAGGATCTCCTCCAAGACCTGAGCTCCACCCTTTGCATTCTGATCAGAGGGGAAGGGAAGTCCGTGTTGGTGGGAAATATAAATATCTGGCTCTGCCGACTGGAAACCATTCTCACCTGGCAGCAGCAGCTGCAGAATCTTCAGATGACTAAGGTATGGATTTCTTGGCCTAAAAACGATTACTCTGTTTTTATGTGAGAAAAGTCGTCGTGTCTTCTAAGTGTACGTGAAAGAGTGTTACAGTGTTTTGAAAGATTCTTTTTCTTTACCTTTTCATAAGTATTCGTTAAATTTTTTTAAGATAGATTAGGATTAGGGTTAGGGTTAGGGTTAGGGTTAGGGATTAGGGTTAGGGTTAGGGTTAGGGGTTAGGGTTAGGGTTAGGGTTAGGGGTTATAGTTGTTGGATGGCTTATAGTTGTTGTAATGGCTTATAGTTGTTGGAAAGACAGTGAAGACAGTAATCATTAAAAAGAGCTGATCCTATGGGTGATGAAGTGGTAAATTAATTTGCCTTTAAAGGAAATTAGGTGTTTCAGGCTAAAATAACATTCAATAAATGAAGGCTAAATTGTACTGCCAATAATTCTCTGTTATCTAGTTGTTGCTTCTCCTCTTGCTTGCTGTCTTCTTCTTGTTGTGTGTTGTGTACACCTGTGTGTTTGTAGTTCTTTGCCAAAGTGAACCTGGGGAAAAGAAGGTGTAAATCATGTCAGTTGTTTTCTTGTTTTTTGTTTATTCTGATAACTAGTTTCAACCAGAAAAATATTAACACCGTGGACTAAAGTAGGTGTCTAGGGTGTGTTTTATTTCTCTCTCGTACTCTGTAAGAGAAAGAATAACGGAATGTACATCTCAGGCCTGAAGGATAAACTACTCTCCTGGTTGAGCTTATCCCTGTGCTGGGGCTCCACGTTGAGGTTGTTGTTTCAGAAGTGACCCTGGAATACCTTAAATTTGGGCCATTTATTTGCCATCTAAACATGAGACTTACAAAAAGAGGACTGGGTCTGAAGTTAAAATGAGGAGGCCAGCGTTCAGTGTCAGTAAGCGCTGCACGGACTCGATGTGAGCGCGTCTGGGACGTGCCCCACGGTGGTCTGGAGCTCTCTGTGGTCCGGCTCTGCCCGCTCTCACCGAAGCCTCACGGGGGAGGGTTCGTGTTGTCCACGTCCATCTGTGAGACACTCGGGCATGGTTTGCTGTGGGGCCCCGCTGGTCCTCGTGTAGCCGAGTCAAGTGGCAATGCCACCTCAGCTGGGGAGCTCTGGGGCGGGCAGTCTGTGCTTGTCAGTGGTGGAGTGTGAGGGTCAGGATTCCTGAGGAAGGGGCGCTTGGCTGGGACGTTCTGGAGGGCCAGCTGCTGTGCGTCATCAGAGGGAAACGGGGCATGACAGCCTCAGCCCGGTTGGGAGGGCCCTCGAAGGGAGGAAGCCACGCAACTCCTTCGTCCTCGCCCTGGTGGGCAGGGGGAGCAGACACGGGCGTCAGCGTGTCATCAGCTTCCTGTCGGATCTTCCCTCCCACCCACACCAATGTGGAGGAGGGCCAGGGAGAGATGTGAGGGGAACGGTGTGACCCAGCTGCCCCACCAGGGCGGCTGAGAGCCACGCGAGGGGACAGGGACTGGGAGGAGGGCACCCCCCACCCTGGTGCTCCGAGGTCACTGCCCTGCCCAGGCTGGAGAGCCTGGTGTCACCATGCCGGCGTGCTGATCATGTGGGAGGAGCAAGGTGCAGAAAGGAAAGTAAGGATGTCCTGGAGCAGGTAAAGAAAGCTGAGGACAGCACAGAGCACGGTTGTGTCCTGTCCAGACTTGGAGACAGCCCTGCACTCGGTGGCCGGGTGCTGGTGTCTTGGTCGCGTCCCTCAGCTCCTTGGGCCCCATCGATGGTGCTCCACATGGAGGCAGGCTGTGGCTCTGTGGTGAGCTGGGCGTTGGACCCGAGCTGGGTCAGCACTGGTGGTGTGGTTGGTCAGAGTCACCCTCCTGCGTCCAGTAGCTTGGCTGCACTCGCGGGTGTCAGACCTGTTGGCCACACTGGTCGGAGGTGCTTCGTGGAGGGTGCTGGCTGGGGGTGAACTGCTGCCTCGTGTCGATTCATAGCCAGTTTTAAGGGGACACGAGCGATGGAGGGCAGGGAGGCACAGCCCAGAACTCCCAGCTCACAGACAGCAGAAGCCAAGAGACCGCGTGCAGTTGAGATCAGCTCAGCCTCCCGGGACGCAGTCGCCAGTTTGCTCCATGAGCCGGCGTTCGTCTTTTCTTCTACATTCTTCTAACAAGAGACAGCTTGATAACCCTTAAATCAAAGTTCCCATACCCCCGAGAAGTACGTAGAAGCCTTGCGTGGCGTCGAAAGCTTTCTAAGAACATCAGAAAGGCTTCTCCTTGTCTTACTCCAGCAGTTGGTCCACTCTGCGAGTTTATGGATCCACTCATCTGGGAGTGACGTCTATATATGCGTCTGGGCAATAAAATCTGTCACTGCTCATTAAGAAGTCCCCACCACCCGATATTGTGACCGGGAAACAGCAGAAAGAAGCCATGTCTGTCGTGTCAAGCCTCTACTTTCTCTTTTTAAAAAATTTCTTCTGGGAAAAAATGACAGTTTTCCTTTAATTTCTTGGTGGCTTATTAGAAATAAAATTAAGATTTACTGTGTGCCATCAGACTACCGAGTTTAAAGTACCTTTAAACTTTTCATGAAAGTTGTACTCAGCTCATCTTTGGTGTGAGGGGTGTGTTGGCTGCGCGAGGAGGCCACACAGCTTTCTCCTGTGACCGTCCGGCGTCCCCTGTAAGTCTGGTGGTTCCTGAACTTGCAGGTCGTCAGTGTTCTAGTCAGAATCTCCACAGTGAAAAAGACGAAGAACCACCCCATATCCAGGCAGAAGTATGTGGGGTGTAGCCATAGGGAGACGGAGCAGAGAGCGCAGAAAGGAGAAGCAAATAATTCTGTGTTAACATTTCCAAGGATCTTGGTAGTGTCTTCAGGCTGCATTGAGTGGATTCATTTTTATGACTTAATCTTATAAAAAGGCTGGTTTTTAATCCTCCATAACAAGTGCTGGTGCTTTACTGAGCATTGGCGGCCCCGGCACACGGGTGCCACTCGGCGGGTTCAGGAACAGCCCAGCCGCTGCCCGCGTCGGAGGTGACGTGGTGAAGTCTCTCCCGCTGGAGATGTGTGCCTGCTCCTGTCTCCTTGAGACGTTGGCTTGTGAGCAGTGTGCGAATGAAAAGGAAACCCCAGACTCTCTTCTTCTGCTCCTCAAACAAGTGTGCTGTGCTTTTAAGCTGCGTGTGAAGGTGTGGTGGTGCTGATAAAGCTGACGTGCTGTCGTGTCTATATCTTCTTGTATCTTCTCGGGGACCCCACGTAGGACCTCACTCAGTAAGCACTTATTAGACAACTGCTGTATGCCAGGACCATCGTGAGGTGGGGGCACGTTGGTCAGTAGGCATGGCTTTACCCAGGGCCTCAGAGTGCCCAGGGGAGATGGTCATGGACCACGCCCTGGGGCTCGGGCTGGGGCAGTGTCCAGCAGAGATGCCCATGCAGAGCATCATGAGTAGAAGCTACGCAGGGGGTGGTGGGCTGGTCAGTGCTCCACACCTGACTCTCGGGGGCTTTTAAAAGCCCTGGTTTGTAGCGTTTGTCAGTTTCCCACCTGCCTGATTTCAAGCACCAAGTCAGCTGGCTCGCAGAATTGGTTTCCGGGAGCCAGTAGGGGCCAGCTCCAGCCCGCCACTGCAAAACCAGGGGACATCAGGCCTTCGGGCAGAGAGAACTGCGTGGCCTGAGGCATGGGGACCTGCGTGGAGGGGGAGGCACAGGTGCGCTGGGTGCCCAGGGTGCCTGGAAGAGGGCGTGAGAGGTAAGGCCCGGCCAGGACTCAAGGCTAGACTGCAAGGTGAGGCTGTAGCCGCTGGGTGCGAGGAGCCCCGGCTGTTTCCAGTGCGAGGGTCATGGAGACATCCGCATTTGAGAGGAGCACCCCAGGTGCCACGAAGGAATGAGCCTGGGGGAGGCAGACCCCCGTGACCACCATTTGAGAGGAGCCCCCCAGATGCCTCGAGGGGATGAGCCTGAGGGAGGCAGACCCCCGTGACCACCGTTTGAGAGGAGAGCCCTGGTGCCGGGAGGAGATGAGCTTGGGGGAGGCAGACCCCATGACCACCATTTGAGAGGAGCCCCTCAGTGCTGCAAGGGGATGAGCCTGGGGGAAGCAGGCCAGACCCCATCACCGTCATGCAGCTGACAGGTGGGGAGCACTCCCTGAGGGACTGAAGGTGGGGGGGCAGGATGCTTGGGAGATGCTTCGGGGAGAGATAGGGCAGTGCTGGGTGACTTCCTCCATGTGGTCAGGAGGGGAGAGCAGGGTGGGCTCCACACTGGGGAGGGCGCCGTGGGGAAGGCCAGGGCGGAGGGGCAGCAGCAGACGGGGCACTCCACTCACTATCCCTCAGTTCTCCTCTAACGAGGAGCAGGGACCGCGGCTCGTGGGGTTGGAATGGACATAAGTCAGGTTTCTGTTGGCCAGAGAGCTTCGCTGCTGGGGGGGTGGGGCAGTGCTGTCTGGATGCAGGAGCCGAGACGGCCCTGGAGGGAGAGAGGAGGAGCCTCTGTCCCTGTACATTTTCTCGTGGTCACGAGAGACCATGACGGTGAGCGGTTTCTGACAGACTGTCTGGGAGCCACTCACGTTTGAATGCAAGATACCGTTTAGGTGGAAAATATCGGCATTTCTGCTGTCCTCTCTTGTTTACAGTCATAATAGGGCTGTAAACCTGGACCCTTCCAGAAAACCAGCTGCTGCATGGTCCCGCTGGAATCTGTCACTCCTCACTCACACAGGACTTTTCCCACCACTTCATACCCCCGAGCCCTGCGACGTTAGCAGCAGATATTTACGGACTCCTGTCTGATACAGAGCTTTCTCAGAAGGAAGAGTGAAGCCTCCATTCAGAACAGACTTACTTCTTGTCCTCATGTTGAGACTGGTGGTTGGGGATAGATGTACACCATGATCTTTGTATGTGCTCTGGCTGTGTGGACAGCAGGGGGAGGATTGCTGTGTCTCCACTCAGCCGTGCTCAGTCCCTGGTGACCTGTCACCTGCTCATGACCAGAGGACGTCTGCTGGTGCCTGCGGGCGCCGTGTGGTCCTGCGGCTCAGGGGCCGCCCCTACAAGGCTGCCGTCCGGGTGGTGGCAGAGGAGTGAAGTGAAGTGACACTTGTGACAGACACCATGCGGTTACGTCCAGGTGTTGGGCCCATGGTGTCCAGCAGCACACCTGATGCACTCGCACAAGGTGGGGGTGTGACTCAGAAATGTCCACCTCGAGTTGCCCATGTGGACGCACAGGAGGCCTCCGGCAGTTCGTGTTTCTGAAGGGCTGGGAGAGCATTTCCACAGCTGGAAGATGGAGACGGGGAGTGGAAGGAGATGTCAAGCGATTCCTGGCACCAGACTCGAGGAGTTAATTCCTCCGTGAATGTCCACTATGTACAGGGCGCTAGGGTCCTAGAAGGCAGCCAGTCGTCCTCGGGGCTGACCAGCTGCGGACAAGGAAACCATTCACCCTTCTCATTGGAAGCAGGTGTGCGGCCCAGCAGGGGTCTGTGTGCACAGCTGGCCAGGCCCCTGCAGGGGGTCAGACCCCCCACCCTCCTGCCGAAACTTTACACCCCCGTCCGTCTGTACGTCAGTCGGAGGCTCTTCTGGTGAGAGCTGGGGATGTGCCATGGGGACACAAGGCTCAGAGGGTGTGAGCCCAAAGCGGGTCAGGCTGAGATCCCTCCTGGCACAGGCAGCCTTTGCCCTCCATGTGTGCGTATTCGTGTGGCCTTCACTCTGGCAGCCTTTCTGGGGTGAACACGTCACGTCCACACAGGCCTGTGTGAGGGAGCACAGGGCTCGTGAATTTGAAGCCAGAGATTCAAAGCCAGGAGGGACCTTGACGAGGTTAGTCTCCCTCCCTGGACACTGAGTTGAAAAGACTGTGCCCATTAACACTCACGCGTTGTCCCGGCCCCAGGCCGTGGCCGAGGTGCGGACCCAGAGCGCAGTGTGCTGACTGAGGCCGGGCCCCTCTGCCCGGGCCCCAGATGCTGTCTGTTGCTCTGTTTCTTCAATCCCATGTGCTCAGAATCTGCCATTTTCCAGGTGTGTCTTTTTAAGTGTCATCGTCTAGTAAATAATTCTCGAACACGTGGAGGGGTCGTAGAGGAGCCATCTGTTCTGCTTCTGGTGTCTCCACACTCCACTGGTCACTGTGGCAGCCCCGCGTCCGGCTGCCTCGCACACGCTGCCAAGAGGAGGATGTGGGCACTGACCCTCTGAAGTGTGGGTACAGTGGGGGCTCAGGTGTCTCTCCTGTTGCCATGTTTGGAAGTGTTTATTCTCGCTGGCCGTCAGGGTTCAGTGTCACTGAAGCCGATGTGTGTCGTGCTCAGTGAAATGCCTCCGGTGTGTTCCTTCCAGCACGTGAACCACGGCCTCACGCTCAGTGACCTTCCCCTGCACGTGCTGAGCAACATCCTGTACAGACTCTCGGATGGCTGGGACATCGTCACCCTGGGCCAGGTGACGCCGGCGCTGTCCGTGCTCAGTGAAGACAGGCAGCTGTGGAAGAAGCTGTGCCAGTACCACTTCGCCGACAAGCAGGTGAGTGAGTGCAGAGACCACCCATGAGCCGCGCTCTCGCCTGCAGTGCCTGACTAGCGGGCCTCTCGTGCGTGCCACTGCAGGGGTGTTGTTTTTCAGGTGTGTTTTTAAAGAATTACTAATAATCAGGATTTATTAAAATCGCTCATGGTTTCTCTTCTGTAGCTTGTGAAGTTCATTTTTCATATTGAAAAAGAACAATGATTCTGAAAACAACCCAAAACAACACAAGAGAACAAGAGCTGAGTTCTCTTTTACCTCTGTCGCAGTCAAGGTGTTTCACAGTTACTGGTTTATCATCTTTCCTCCTTAATTTGATGACTCGAATTCCAGTTCTGCCCTTTACCATGTCGCGTACCTTTTCACAGTTACGACACCGTTAGTTTCTGTTACCAGTGGGTAGCACACCGCTCCTCCGTGTCCACGGGACACTCGTCCCCTCCTGCGTCCTGTCCTTGGAGAACCCGTCGTGGGAACCGGTGTGGAACAGTTTGTGTGCACTTGCTGGGGGTCTCTTCCCAAGCAGTTTGCTCATCCGCTGTCCAGGGTTCTGTCCTGCTGTGCTGTGTCTGGACCGCAGCTGACTCATGTACTTGCTCCTGCGTCACACAGGTGTGTGGGGTGCCTGCGGGGTCGGGCAGGTGTGGTCCTGCTCCCACGGAGGCTCTGTTGAGAGGGGAGACAGACATGACACATCTCACTCGCTTCAGGTTTGGTGGAAACTGACAGACGCGGTGAGGCACCGCACAGGCGAACGTTCTCCACTCTTGGAGGACGGAGCAGGGCAGGGGAATTCCTTGAGGGCATCGAGGTTCCGTGGGCGATAAGCAGGTTCTAGGCAGAGGGAGCTCTGCATGTCAGGGTCCTGAGTGGAGAAGGAAGGGCGTTGTGTGCCTGAGGAGGTGCGGGCAAGTGGAAGGAGCCGGTGGAGCAGTAGCCAGGAGGCCTGAGTGGCCACGTCAGATCCAAGTCTGTACCCAGCGGGCCTAGAAGAGCCACTGAAGCATTTGGAACAACATGCAGATTTAAAAGATCCTTCTTGTTTTTGTTTGAGGGATAGATGGGAGTGGGGTGCAGGGAGACCCACTGAGAGACGTGCTGAGAAAGAGAGGGTGGTGGCCGGGAGGGACTGGCGTGGCAGAGAGATGAAGCCAATGGACGGATGACAGGTCGGCTGGAGGGGCTGGTGGGCGGCAGTGCATGCCCTGAGGAGGGGCGGCCAGGCTGGCGGGAGGAGTGACAACTGGAGGCAGGTGGGGTTTGGGGTGCCCTCCAGATATCTGAGGGAAACAAGTCAAGAGGGCAGTGGGTGTCCTGAGGAAAGGTCTGAGCTGGACACACAGATTGAGAGGGACCAGCACAGAAGTGGTGGTCGACGGGCTCGACGGGTCCCTCGACGGGCTCGCCTGGAGAGGAGGACCAGAAGATGAGGCAGTCTGGAGAGCCGTGAGGAGCAGCTCTAGCAGCCGAGTCAAGGAGCACAACCTGCAAGGATGCAGCGTCCCCGAGAGCCCAAGAGAGGGCCTCAGCTAAGGAGAACCCTAGGAAGAGCCCGTCGATTCAGTCCTGCAGAGGCTGTGGGGACCCTGGGAGACACTCCGTCAGGTGGGCGTGCTGGGGAGAAGCAGTGAAGTCAGGGTTAATTGGAAGAGGGAAGAAAGTAGGTTGAATTCTAGTCAGCATAGGCAGTGGGGCTGTTGAGCGTTTTGGAGGGAAGGGGGATGAAGGTATGTCTAGGATGGAGACGGCCGTTCTGTGGACTGGGAGCCAGGAGGCCCCGGGTGTGCTGGGTCACACATGGCGTAGCTGCCTACTGCTCCTGCGTGTGCTCTCACCTCCCTCGCCAAGTTCAGGCCCCAGCTGTTTACTTAGGTGTTAATCAGAGGGCCTGTCGGGCATTTCAGAGAGTATCTGTTGACCATTTGTGAGACCCTTGCTTTTCCTTAAAGAAACCACGTTAGAGCACTTGTGTCTTCTGCACCTGTGTTTAATGTCATACAGTTGTCATTAGCAGTTAGCACTCACAGTGCATTTTGTGCACGTTTTATTGACCCAATATCAAAACACAGCGTCCAGAAAAAATTATCTGTTTTTTGGGGCTCAGTAGCCAATGGTAAATGACACTAAAATGACATGTATATGAGACACAGCTTCATGGAAATGGTGAGGTGGGGCAGCTCCCAACACGTGAGGCTGAGTGGGCGTGCAAGGTGGACTGGCGGTCCATCTGAGGTGGCGCTGGAAGGAGAAGGTGGCCAGATGCTTGACTGGAGTGTCTGGTGCAGATGTCGGGTTTGAGTTCAGAAGAATCGAGGTTGGTTGTTGAGGAGAAAACAACGGGGCTCTCCCAGATGAATGCCCATGTGGCCCAGGGTCATGAGAAGTAGAAGTGAGACACAAGTGGTTTTTCTCTCTAGGAACTGAGGTTTAGCACTGCTTGGAGGATACAGAAGTTAATATAACCAGGCCGTTAACTGCTTTTCTTTATTTTCCAAGCTGTCCTCTGCAAATGCTGTTAGAAACAAGAATTTTCTTATTGACTCCATCGTAATTTCAAAACAAAGTCCTCAGAAGTCATGACAAGTGTGTGTATATTATCCACGTGGTTGTTTTCATTATAAAAAGTAGAACATGCTCATTGCAACTGCAGTCATCAAGACTAGCAGTGTCCAGAGAGCACAAGGCCTCCTCCCCCAGGGCAGCCTCTGCTGATCCTTCAGCGTGTGCATGGTGCTCGGGTTTTCCACCAACACAGACATAACGTGTATCTAGCTGTGCACTGATATTTTCCTGTAACTGAAATCATGCCACTCTGTAACATTCTTCTACACCTTTATTGAGATATACACACAACAGTCAATCTTAGGACATTTTCATCACCTCAGAAAGAAACCCCACAGCTCTCGGCCCAGCCCTAAGCCATCCTGGGTCTACCTCAGTCTCCCTGGATGTCCCCACGTGGATGTTTGCTGTGAGTGGATGTCATCTCTGGGCCTCATGTGACTGGCCTCTTCCCCTGGGCGCATGGTCCTCAAGGCTCACCCACGTTGAAAGAGTGTTAGTGCCCCAGGCCTTTCCATGGCTCCTTAACGCTCCGTTCCACGCACAGATCACATCCTGTTTCTCTCTTCATCAGTTGACGGACACGTGGGTTGTTTCCCCCTGTGGCTGTCACAAATCATACTGCTCTGAGCATGGGTGTACACCATTTTGTGTGGACATTTGTCCTAGGAGTGGAAATTCTAGATCAAATGGTAACTGTAGATTTAAATTTTTGAGGAGCTGCTAAACTGTTTCCAGCATAGCTGCACCATTTTCTGTTCCCACCAGCAGTGTATGTGGTTCAATTTCTCCGGGTCCTTGTCCACACTTGCTATCTGATGTTTTGATTATAGCTACCCTAGTGCGTGTGAAGTGGTATCTCATTCCATTTCCCTGATGACTGAGATGGTGAGCATCTTTTCATGTGTTTATGGGCCATTTGTATGTCTTTGGAGAAATGTCTTTTCCAATCCTTTGTCCATTTTTTAATTGGGTTGTCTTTTTATTACTGAGTCTTAAGTGTTCTTTGTCTATTCTCGATACAAGTCCCTCATCAGATATATAATGTGTGTAACTTATTTTTAACTTAATAATATATCATGGACATCAGATCAGAACATGTAAATCTGTTTAACAGCTGCATGGTATTCCATGATTTATTTGATCAAATAATTGAATGTTTCATGCACTTCCTTTTAAAATCGCTTTGTACCTAGTACTATGCTGTGAAGACCATCTGCTGGTTCTGAACAGAACTTGTTTTGTCCAGTTTTGTAGACATTTGGTCCTCTCAGAAGAAGGTCACGTTGAATGGAAGCGCACGTATTTTGCCCTTCAGAAGTATTACCCAACCCGAGAGCAGTATGGGGACACTTTACATTTCTGTCGGCACTGCAGCATCCTCTTTTGGAAGGTAATAATTTCAAATACACCCTTGGAATTTGGGGATTAAAATTTGGTGAAACCAATTATTCACATTTATTTTAATTGTAATGGTAAAAACAATGGGAAGTTCTATTTGTGATAAGAAGGATAATAATGAGATATATTTCACCAAATATTGGGTAGGGGAATAGGTTCATAAAAGTAAAACGTACAACTTGTGGTTTGAATCAGAAATGTTGAAAGACACCTCTTTTCCCCTCAGATGACTCAGTTTCTCCCTTCCGTGGACATTGGCATGTGGGAGGCACGTCCCAGAGGGCACCTGAGGCAGGAGTGTCTCTGGGCTGAGTCCGGGGCAGGCCCCGTGGCTGGCGGCCTTTCCTGGCAGCGGCTTTGGAACGCCCTGGGTTAAGATCCCCCCCTTTATAAACGTGGGGAGGAGCCCTCCCACTGCCTCCCCCACTGGCCTTCAGCCTGGAGCTGTTCTCGGGGGCCCCCACACCCCGCAGCAGCGCCTCCAGGAGGCTCTCCCCAGAGCCGGTTCTTAGAGCAGGGTCTGCAGAGGTCACAGACTGTGAAGTAAACCTGCGGTTTCCTGGTTCACGAGGTCAGAACTGACCAAGCTTACGGTTCCTGACCTGCAAGCCTGGCCCTGGGGTGAGAGGCGTGCGCTGGGAGCTTCGTCGCCAGCAGTGTCAGCGTCAGGGTGAATCGGGAATCTCCACCCCTGCCCTTCCCGTTATTAGCTGTACATCTCACTGTCCAGACTGCGTCTGATACAGGCAGCTTTTCCACAGGAGAGGTCTGTGCGCCTCCTCTTGGGTGAAGTTTTATTTTCTTACCATGCTGGTACTGTTTTACCCAGGATGCTTGTCTGGTACTGTTTTACCCAGGATGCTTGTCCGTGGTTTACCTTGAGTTTGAATATGTTTAATGTTGTGAAATTTCACAAGGGGAAGAAAAGTGGCCAAAAGTGGTGGGCCGGCCGCGAGCATGACTGTCCCGTCCTACACGCACCGCGGCCCTGCCTCTCGGGACCTTGCTCAGAGCGTGGCCCCGGGGCCTCCCGCCGCCTTTGGGGTGAGGGCCATCAGGCTTCTGCCTGGTAGACACCACACTGATCGCTTCTGTTGCTTTACATTTATCTGTAATTTGTTAGATGCATAACACAGCAAACTAGATTGTTGGAAAACAGACAGCCACTTTAAATTTTTTTCATTTCACATTACATTTATGATAGTGTGGCTTCTTTTTTTTTAATTATAATCCACAGTTGAGCAGTGAATGTAGAGATGTTGTGAACGCTTCCCGTGTTACTGTGATAGAGCCTTATTTACTGGGTCAGAGGTGAGCATTCGTGAGTAATTTCTGGTGCCTCCATGCGTGAATAGCATGAGACTCTGTTACTTCTAACTGATTGTCCTATATTTTAGTATGACTTCTTTCTCGAAATTGAAAAGAGAAAACGTACTGTGTTTGCAGTAGTTCAACTGTTCCTAGAGCACCGTTCCCCAGGAGCAGGGAATACCTTCTTCAAGCTTTTTCTCACATCTGTGCTCAGCACACACCGTGAGGCACTTGGTCAGTGCCTGGGGAGTGGATGAGTCAGTAAGTGAGTCCGTCAGCCCATCAGCGGAGTCAGACACACAGGAGAGCCCTCTTTTGTCCCTGGTCCCAGCCACGGGGCACAGACACACAGCGTGGTGGTGTGTTCTCTGCAGCAAGCACACAGGCAGGTGCGGGTGGGTGGAGAAGGCGACCGAGCGCGTGGGGCTCGGGGTTGCGCCCCGGATGGGCCCTGCATGCCTGGAAATCGCCAGCCCTGGCTGGAAGCGCATGAGGACGTGTCTTCAGTGGTGCGGTAGGAGCGGATGAGACGCTCTGGGTTTCTCCTTTGAATCGATTCTCCCAGGAGTTCTTTGCTTTTCTCCTGAGCAAACTGTTTTATTCTAAAGAAATATTGCAAGTGGTGATGTTTTTCTGGGGAAAACAACTATTCATGGGATATATAAGTCTTTCAGTCTTGCCTGTGACACACATTTTTCTAAGAACACTATTTGAGAATACCGGCACCCTCCCTGTCTCTTAAGTAATTAACAAAGAAACAGGTACTGTCCCTCAGCGTCTGTGCCGTCAGGCAGTGTGAGAATGTGCTGCCCTGTCCTGAAGAATACAAGTTCTGATTGTTTTTTTAAATTGAGAGGTAATTTTTAGCTTCCAGAAGAATTTGCCTGAGAATTCTTATTTTTAGTGAGTCTTCCTATCACACTTAATCAAGTTATGAAAATAGAACAAGCTTCCTAATAAAGACGCTGCTTCTTCCAGTTCTTGAATATTCTTGATCTCACTCCTGAAGGCTGTGTGAACCACACTTCACGCAGCGGCCGCTCTGAGGATCGGCCTCAGCTCACAGGGCCACGTCGCAGCCTTTTCTGCCGTATGTCATTCGGGAAGACGCGGGTTACACTCCTGAATCTGCGTGAGAGTGTAAAGAAGAAGATCCGTCTTTGGAATTGCTGGCAGAACCTGTTTCCTGAGTTAGCTCCTGAGGAAGCAGAGTCTTCCTGCTTGGCCTCCATCTGCTCTGCCGTATTGGCCGGCTCCGCAGTCCAGAGACGGAGCCGGACCCGCCTCCCGGCTCGGCCCCAACTGTGCTGTGGCCACACGAAGTGTCCAGTCTCATGGAGTCTCGTTTTCATGATGCAGCCTGCCACGTAGAGTGTGGTAGGGACGGAGCAGTACTGTACCTTGCACACGGTTGGTGCCCAGAGAACAGTCCCTACGGCGGTGCTCATCTTCTCCAGCAGCCCAGTGAGTGTTTGTGCTGACTGAGAACTGAAGTGACGTGAAACCCTCAAGAGAACGGAGCTGGGCGGGGGCGCTGATGACTGAGTCACAGCTGCTCTTGGACTCCAGTGTGAGCCGGGCCCTCTCTGTCTCATATCAGATATTTTATCATTCTCCATGTGAATTTGGAGCTCTCTGACAGGCATCTGCCATGCAGCCTCCTCCTCTGCTGCCAAGCTGGTTTTCCATCCGTTAAACCCTGGGTTAACCATACTGGGGCTAGGTATTTAATTTTTCCACCTGCCTCGATGAGAAACCTCCAAAGTGACAGGAGGGGAGAAATAGTATTTCTGTCTTTTAAAAACTATACAGCATGGTCTCTGTGGTCACCCAGCTGAGTTAAAGACTGCCCAGCCTGGGATCTGATTTCAGTGGCCCTCAGAAGGCTCCACTGAGATGACCCCCGCCCTGGGGTCACTGAGGTCGAGGGTGGGAAGACAGTCACTATGTGGTTTAGCAAGGCTGTTGTGTTCCCTACTCCTGCCTGTTCTCCAGCTGGATTTCTGTACTTCTCAGCTTTACGAAACTTCAGTTAAAACAGGGTGTCGGGTGGTTGGGAAGCAGAAGGAGTCCAGTTAAAGGCAGAGCCGGAGTGAGAGTCTGTCCCCTGCCGCAGCACGCGCAGAGCCCAGTGTTCACACTGCAGGTCCGCCGGCATCGTCAGGAAGAGTCGTGGCTGGAATCGGAGGCCAGGGAGCGACTCCCGGGTGAAAACCTGGCTAGTCTGGGCTGAGCTGCGGCACGCTCCCCCTTGACCGGCACTGACCAGCCAGTCCCAGCTCTGGCGAGGATGAGGGCCAGGGCGCGGCAGGGAGGTGGCGAGGAGTGCTGGCTCTCGCGCATCCTGAGTGGGGACGGGCGGCTGGCCGGGACGGCGTGTGTGAGGGCAGCAGGCTGGTGCCGACCTTGTGTTGACAAACCACGAACAAGCAGAAAGGAGTGTGGGAGGTGGAGCCTGTCCGCTGGCTCCTGGGTGTCCCCAGCGTCGCGTTAACACACGACTCAGCACAGAGCAGACTCGTGGGCTTTAAAAAGGAATAAGTGACTGTCCAAGAAATCTGTGACACGTTTGTTCAATGTAAACTAAACATGGAAACACCAGCATGGCTTCACGTCTTTTCAGGGCGCAGTTTTGAAGGTTATTGAGCCTGCAGCTTCATCAGTTGTCAGTCTGAGCCTCACAAGGGGGTGGGAACATTTATCACTGTCTCCTGTCTTCGGGTTGTATGGATCTCCGGGGTATCTGAAGGTGCCTTGTATGCTTCCTTTAATATTTTTATTGCCCACATTTAGATGATTTCAGTTGTTTTCATAAATAACAGGCATCAGACCTAAGCACCTGAACACAGCCTGGCTCTTTCTAATCTTGATTTTGCCTCTTTTTCCTCCCTTCACTGCTTTCCTTCCTGACTCTTCCTTCACCATCTCGAAGGACTGCCGCCTCGCTCTGTTATTCAAGGTACCTCGTACTGCCCCACGCATGCGCGTGCACACCGAGGCATGGTGGTGTGTCTGCAGTGTTCACGTGGCCCCCTCGACTACCCCCAGGACCAGCTCCGTTAGCCCGCAGCCCTCGCCGCCCCAGACACAGCATGCGTGTCTGACCCGCGGCCAGAACTACAACTCGTTCTTGCTTATTTCAGCCGCCACCAAAGGATTTGCATGAACTGTCTTATAGAGCAACGCTTGAGTCACAGAGGCCCAGCCCTAAGGGGGTTGTTGGCTTGTGCGTAAGAATTTCACTCAGGTGAAAGGCACCGCACAGCCCCTTAGGGTGGTCACTCGCCAGCTGGTGGACACTGAGTGCACACGCTGGCCTAACGTGGCCTCGAATGCCCTCTGGCCTGTATTCTGTAGGGTCTTTGTTCTCTTAAGAGCTTGTCAGTCTTCGTACACAAAACCTATTTTTTTCTGTCATTTTTCCTATTAAACACAATTCTGGGTCTTCCATTGAGTGGGAGCTCCCAGCTCCCTTGCGCTCCACTGCAGCAGATGGGGCCACGGGTGCTGCTTCCAGAGGGTGGGGGCGCCCTCCACGCGGTACCAAGGGGTGGCTGATGGGTAGCCGGGAACCTGAACCCCAGCATAGACCAGGACGGGAGGAGCATTGAAAGCGGATATTAAAGAGTGCAGTGTCAGAATATTCCCAGTGGGAAGCGAGCACGCCAGGACAAGGGAGGCAGAAAAGCCCAGGGTTTCCGTTCCTCTAACCCGGGGCCGGACACAGCTTCCCGGGACCGGCTCTGGGCCATCTGCCTCTCCGTCTCCTTGAGCAGAAATTCTGACAAAAATCTCCTGAAAAACTGCTGTGCTGCCTTGTTTTCATGATCCTCGTCTGTTATTTTGCACTTTGCAGTGGGGTCCGGGGCCCGTTGAAACAAACAGTCTGTTTAAACAGTGGCTGATCTGTGACAGTGCCTCTCCCTCCTCACAGGACTCGGGACACCCCTGCACGGCCGCCGACCCCGACAGCTGCTTCACACCCGTGTCTCCGCAGCACTTCATCGATCTCTTCAAGTTTTAAAGGCTCCCTCACCCCCTGCATCGCTGCCAAAGGTGGTACCGTGTGTGTGTGCAATAGCTGGGAGGAGGTGTTCTTGGTGACTGACAGTGATGATGGGACGGTGACTAGAGGCCTCCTGCGGGGCCTGTGCTCGCTGGAAAGAACAAGAAAGGACGTGAAAAACTGTTCCTTGGTGGAGGAATGCATTGTTGGGTATTTTCATTTTTGAAAGGGGTCAGGGAACCCAAGCAAAATCATTTCTACTCCTTCTTTAAAAAAATTCTTCTTAGCAGATTAAAAGTTGCAACTTTGCATATTTATAAATACAGTTCAGAAAAGATTTTGGATTTTCAGCACCACCTTCTGTGCTGAACTGACACTAACGGCCAATAATATGCTTCTTAATTGTCAAATGATAGTTTCTTGATTTTGTAGTAATTGGGGTGAGGGACAGAACCGTTGATCCTTGTAAATACATTGCACAGAATATTTATTTTTCTTAAGATGTATTTTAACGGCATTGGTTGTGTCCAAATGAATCCTCTTTGAATGCAAAATGAACCTAGGGAAATATTTGTGTATCCATTCTGGTGTTTAGCGATTGCGTTGTGAATTGTGCAAAATGATTGTAACCCACAAACATGTTAGTGGTGTGGCTGTGGTCCTGGGGCTCCAGGACAGACACTGGCGGGCAGGGAGCTCTGCTTTGCGGGACCTGTTCTTAGCTGGCCTGTGGGGGGACCAGACAGCCCCTGATCATTTGCCACGACCGAGTCAGGGACAGCCCAGTGCAGCCTGAGCTCGACTGTGCTGAGACTGCTTTCATAGACAAAGGAGTAAATCACGTTTATCTACTGATGTCACTTCGTCAGTTTTGCATCTTACTGAAAAAACTAGTGTCAGTGATTCTGATCTTTATTTAAACCTTTAAAAGATTGTTTTATTTTTAAAATAATGCATGTGCATTTTAGAAAATTTTGAAAATAAAGGTTTATAAAAGAAAATAGACATCACCCATAACCCGCCCCCCAAAGATGACTGTGCCAGAAAGGGAACACTTGCCCCCAGCAGCTACAGGGGAGAGATATGTTGTGTTTATTTTGTGTTTTTTTTGTTGTTTTTTTTTTTTTGTGAGGAAGATCAGCCCTGAGCTAACATCTGCCAATCCTCCTCTTTTTGCTGAGGAAGACTGACCCTAGGCTAACATCCGTGCCCATCTTCCTCCACTTTATATGGGACGCCGCCACAGCGTGGCTTGGCAAACAGTGTGTCGGTGCGTGCCCGGGATCCGAACTGGCGAACCCTGGGCCGCTGCAGTGGACTGTGCACACTTAACCACTTGCGCCACCAGGCCGACCCCTGTATTTTCAGTTTTGAATGGGATCAGAGGACCAAGAAAAATCATTTCTACTTCCTTCTTCAATTTTTTTTCTTCTAAGCATATTAAAATTTGCAGTTTTGCATATTTGTAAATAAAGATTCTGGATTTTTCAGCACCACATTCTGTGCTAAACTGATACTAACGGCCAAGAATATGCTTCTTAATTGTCAAATGATAGTTTCCCTCCAGATAACGGTGTAGAGACCCAGTGCCTCTGTGTGTGTGTTGGAGTAAATGCTTTCATAAAACCATAAGCATCCTATATACCACTTTCATTTTATAACCAGCCTTTTTTTCAAAAGCATGGGTGAAAACCTGGTTTTTATTGGCTACATAGTATCAGCAAATGGAACAGTCTTATCATCTGGACATCAGGTTGTTTCTGATTTTTGCTATTAACGTAAGTAAGTAACTCTCTGCATCTGAGTATGTCCAGATAGAGGAGAAGTAGGACAGGGAACGAGTTGGGTATTAGAGGCTCTTTCCAGATGCCCCGTGAGGACGGAGCTGTTGGGGTCTTCCTAAGAGGTGGAGTCTGCTGAGGCCCGTACTCCCTGAGGACAGGCGCTGTCGTTTCTTTTCTGCTGGTGCTGTTTTAATAAGTAAAGAATGGGATGTGAGGTTGGACATTTCCTCTGTATATTTACTGGCTGTTGGTTTCTGTTTTTGTTTTGTTTTTGGTAAATTACCTAATGTATGTTCTTTGCCAGTTTTACTTTTGCGGTGTTGGTCTCTTTTGTATTAATTTTTTCTCTTGTTGCAGCTCTTTTCCCCAAATAACAACATGAACAGTGTAGGGAGAGGGTCCCGCAGTCCCTCTACTCTGTCAGCACCTTTCCACAGGCAGCAGGGGCGCTCAGACCCAAACCCGCTGCAGTTGCGTGAGGCCCGGAGTACGAGAAGGAGACGGGAGAACCGAAGGGGGCACAGACAGAGGGAGGATGGTTTCAAGACACTGATCAACAATTTACAGATCAGATGACACCAAACAGGCAGAGATGAGAAGTGGGGTCGTCATTAATTCACACAGTTGACAGTATTTTGAATCCAGGCTCTGTTGGGGGCCGTCCCGGGTGGGGATGCCACTGCTCCCTGGATGCACAGATCCTCTGTGTTGTGGACTGGCAGTGAAGCCAGAGCTCTCACACCACAAGCCGGAGACCGGGCGGTGAGTCTCACGCGCCCTTTGTTCCCTAACAAAGGCAAGGCCGCCTCTTAGGATGGAGTCCCCGGGCATTCACGTGGGACACGTGCCCAGTCAGCACTGCCACACAGGGCCTGGGGAGCAGGCCACGGAGTCTGCCCAGAGCCACCCCAGCCGAGCCCACGGGAGCTGCTGTGCCCAGAAGCCAGTGTTGTGTGGATGAAAAGACGTTTTGTCACCTACTCGTGAATACATCTGAGTCAGAAAGAGCTGCTTGGTAGCATTTCCCCAGCGGATTAAGGTGCGCCTCTGTCATAGTTCATCATGTGACCCTGTATCTGCATGGACATCATGCATGTTCACTGTACAGGCTTGTATGTGGACAACTGTGTCTGCTTTACAGACAATATTTAGGGATCTATGTATAATTTTTGCCATAAATACTTTTAGGATCATATGCAAACAAAATACCTACAAGATGTTTGTGTATTGACTTTTTATCCTGCAGCCTTGCTGAAATCATTTATTAAATCTAGTAGTGTTTTTGTAGAGAATGAGTTGCTACACACAAGATCACGTCGTCTGCAAATAGAGGTAGTTGTGCTTCTTCCTTTCTGGCTGGGTGCCCTTTCTTTTCTGGCCTGATTTTCCTGGCTAGAGCCTCCCCTGCAGTGTTGTAGACAGAGCACAGACTTCCTCGTCCTGTTCCAGATCTGAGCGGAAGCTTTCAGTCTGTCACCCTCCAGTGTGATGTTAGCTGTGTGTTTTTGTAGACGCCCTTATCGGGTGAGGGTGTTCCCTCTCAGTCCTGCTTTGTTGTTGTCACGAGAGGGTATTGGTTTTGTCAGATGCTTTTTCTGCATCTATTGAGATGAGCATGTGGTTTTGTCCTTCATTCTCCTAATGTGGCGTGTCACGTTATTGGTTTTTGTGTATTGAACCAACTCTGCGTTCCCGGGCTTCAGTCCCGCTTGGTTGTGGTGTTTATCCTTTTTTATTATCTTTTTTATAATAGTTGTTGGATTTGGTTTGCTGGTGTTGTACTGAGGGTTTTTCATAAGAGATATTAGTCTGTGCCTTTCTTGTGATGGCTTTGTCTGGTTTTGGTATCAGGGTGAAAACGGCCTCCTGGAATGAGCTTGCCTTGAAAGTGTTCCCTCTGCTGTTTTTTGGGAAGAGCTTGTGAAGGATTGGTGTTAATTCTCCTTTTTTAAACATTTGGTGGAACTCCACATGAGACTTGTGGTTACTGAGGAGAAGCTTCAGTTTTCAGTTCAGTCACATCTTCCCTCTTGGAGGGTCCTCTGCCTATTGCCTTTAACAGGATGAGGCTATTTTGTTGTGGCATGTCTTTTTAAAGCTTTTCCTTTTCGTTGTGGAGGCCTAAGCTAGCAGATAAATGGGCTGTGAAGCTTAATCTCGGATGCTTATCTCCATAATTACCAAAAGTGAGGGGTGCTGCCCTCTGAAAAATCACAGTTTTAAAAGGTAGAAGATAAGTGGCTCATGAAATGTCATTTTATTCCTTCATTAACTGTGTGTGCAAATGCGTACGTGACTCCACTCACCTCCATTCCCTACCAAACACACATCAGTCACTCACCAGTGAAATGCCAGACCTCTGCCAGTGTGAAGGGAAGCTGGAGGACCTGACAGCCCTGGGGCCCAGCGTCAGCCGCTCAGTGACCTCTGGCTGCCAGCGCCCTCTTGGCCGGGAGTCCCGGGTTCCACACTGTTCTCAACTTAACCTCACCTGCTTCTGTCTGAGTACAGTTGTCTCTTACGTCTTCACCCAACACAGGCCACTGCTCGTCCCTCTCTGGTGTTCCTGCCAGAGGGAGCAGACTCTCAGCCTCTGGAGAGCAGTGTCCCCATGGCCCACGTGCCGAACACCAGAGCCACATGACTTAGCTGAGCTCAGCTGCTCACGGACGTGATCTCCGTCTCCAGAACCCGCACAGGGAACTGTGCCGAAGTGTGTGTGGAGAGAGGCGCCAGCCCCCTTCCTGGGACGGTGCTGCTGGCCGTGTGGCCCTGGGTCCCACACTCAGCACGCTCTTCCTCGCCGTCACCCTTCTTCCGTTCTCACATCTGGTTCTTCCACAGACCACCTCGTCATTGCCACCTTTGCAGGTCACCTGTCCCGCAAGGTGAGTTCCTAGGAAAGGCTGTTAGCCGTCCAGTTGTCCTTGTCTCTGCAGTCCTCTCCTTCCCACTGTCCCTGCCTCGACACAGCGAGTGACGGAGAGTCGAGAACAGAAGAGATGCCTAGAGCACAGCCAAAAAGGAGGGCCAGGGAGAGGCTGTCCATAAGCTGCCCAGTCTCTCTGCCTCTTGCTCAGCCCCCGCACCTCACCAGGGGTCAGAGTTCAGGATGGTGGGTTCCTCACACAAATACAGTTGTTCAAGACAAGACTTTCCATGTCAGACAGGAGGGAAACCTCACCTGTGTTGTCTCATTTTTTGGATAAAAATTTCACTTTTATTTGATAGTCATTTGAGAAATTTGCACAGATAAATGCTAGAGTAGCATAAAAAATTCTAATGTCACTTAAAAATTTTTTAATTATGGTAAAATACACTAAAGTT